TCGTGTTTGCTGAACAGAAGTAGAAGGACAATCTTATGTTTTTCAATGTTATCAGCTCTTGTACCTTTCGCATACCACGTTTTTGCACTTCAATGAGGTCGGAGCTGTATCTTTTCGCGCGATAGTGATTAAGGATATTGAAAGTTTCGTTCGTAAATGTCCGAATCTTCGTATCGACTTCATTGTTAGGGTCTTGTTGTCTAAAGAACGCTTGAGGAATTAGTGGTGGTGGTAATGCCCCTACTTCCTGCAGCTCGCTATTTTGAGCTTCGTCTCTAACTTTCTTACCGAATCTATCTTGAAGCTCATGTAAGCTACATGCGACCCTACGCAAGGTTACGTTAGAAATTATAAATAGGTACAAAAGAAGAGAAACTTGGGCTCAGCTCTAATAGCGAGCGCGCACCGTCAGGACGAGGCATGGCTCCTACTGCGGTTAGCCTTGAATTTCAAGGCACATTAATGCTACTCTGATTCATTTGACCATCGTTAGCGGTGTTTCTATACTTTTTTGAGGCATTCTGGATTAATTTCAGAAATTCGAAAATGAACCGCAGGGAAGAATGCCTCATTATCACGCGTGGTATTGGGCAGTATATAAGCCTGTTATTTTGATGGGGGGGGGGAGGTATACTACGCATCTATGTGAATTCTGTGCGTTCGGTCTGCACGCGACATACTCAGTGAAAACCTCATAGAAGCGGTGATTGTACCGAGAAGCTATTCTGTGTTCAATCTGATTGAAATCTTGGTTTAGTGCTTTCTCTGTCTGGTTATGGAGGTGTTTGGCTGGGTAAATTGATATCAACGTGACCCTTCTAGGCTCTACGGAAGGCGAAATCCGCTGAAACGTCAGCTTGTTTTTTGAAAAAGGAATAAAATGACATCTCAGGCTTGCTCAACAAGAATATGAAGAAGGCGGTTGCTGTTGGTATAAATATCAGTTGATGATAATTGGTTGTCAACTGATAATCCACCCTTCAGCAGCCGGTATTTTGCTAGCTACCACATGACGAATAGCAAAACAATATTTTTCAAGTTTAAAAATGAAATTAAATTAAAAAATTTAAGTGAAATTCAGAAATTCAAAACGAAGACGTCGAAACGTTAGCCGAATAAACATCTCATATCAACCTCGTGTAAGTTCAACAATATAAACAAAGATTTTTCTTTGCCCCTTCGTATTATACATATTAAATCTTTCAGGATTTAATTTTTGGTTTCCACCTATACCTTTGAACTGGAATACCTTAGATGAGAATAAATTCTCCCAATCGAAATAATAACCCTGAGATATCCAAATTTGAAAGCATGTTTATTTATACTATTTGCAGGAAATTCTGGCCTTCTAGGGACGATGAAATCGTCGAAGGTAGCTTTAGTCCCGGCTTGCTTTCTGAAGCATTTTTACAAAGTACTTTGCCGAGATGCTTGAAGAAGCGTCGAATGCGGTGGATTAGGCAGAGTTTCGTAGACCAGCTCTCCCAGCCTCTGCAGCATCATTAACGCGACGTCTGATCGAACGTTGAGAAGAATTTGAGTCTCCCTGTTGACAAATGCTACGCTCACACGTTTATTTCTGGTGTTTCTTCGACTTCCCAGACATAATTCTTTGTCATAATCGTTTTACCCAGTTTCAGAAAGCTTTGATGGATCAAACTGGCTGTATACCACCACACAATCAGCATGGATGACTGTTTTGACGCAATTCCGAGCTTAGAAAGTACTGCAAAGCTTCACTGCTGTCTTACGACGGCGTTTATCTAGAACAACATTTGCTTGCGGAAAATCGCAATGCGTTTGGGATACGGATCGTAATGATTGCGTAGGAGAAGTATCTACGATACCCCGTAATGATACCTCCTCTGATTGTCGTTCAATTCCTACAGCACCCACCTTTCGAACTTTTTCGCCTTTCTAATGTATTTGAGGCCGTCTGAAATAGTTGAGAAGCCTCCACAGAGTCCTCCTGCAAGTTCTCGATAGGTTGTATGTAAATGCTTACACGGATCCATCAATTCAACGTCTTCATTAGCAAAAGGACGTACACAACCTCTTTCACTTTCAATGTAGTATTTTACACGACGAAATTTTTTCCAGTAATGTTTCTAATCTTTTGCCATGCCTACATCCGAGTGTGTGTTCGCAGAAGTTAACTTGTCCAAACTTCTGCTTTGACTTCTGAAATATAACCTCTAAAATCTGTTAACAACACAGTTTATATTACAACTGAACCACACAAAGTGAAAATGAATAAACTGGGCCTAGCAATTACCTGTAATAGTAGATTGTAAATGTAATAGCGATTACCAATCCTTGAGGGATGCGCCATGCACTCAACTTCATTACGCATCGTTTAGAGGTGACTGTATGCATATCTGACCTTTATAGTGACTCGCGGTGGCCTACTGATGTATCGAGCCAGTGCTGCTATCTTCCCAGCCAAGCCTGGGGCCAATTTACCGTCCCGGTGGGATAGACAGCTCGGTGAGCCGGATGGCACCTCAGGGTTTGATCAACGTTGAGAGCCTCTAGTTTTGTACTTTACAAAACCAACTTTCACTTAACCTCAGCGTCAATAATAATGCATTTGTTCAGGTTGTCTAGCTTACACGAGTTTGTTATATAGCCTCTACTGCCTAATGTTTCAATGTCTTCGTTTTCTTCAGAGCTGATCGATACAAGTCGATGGTGTACAGTCGTTATCCCTCGCGTTGTGGACCTTGCTAGTCCATATCCAGTTCAATCTTCATCAGTGGAGCACTGTTCAGGCGTTAGTCATCAATATGAATCTGATGTGGAGCAATTGGTTCTCAAAAAAAAAATATGAATGTAAGTTGACATTCCAACTGAGGAAATTGTTCCTCCCGTTGGTCATCTATATCCTTTATTTATTATCCAAATCAGCTGTTCGACTCCGACCATCAAAATTGCGGAGACTTCCTGAGTCCACCGACACTTGCATACTGCGAGACTCGGCGTGAAATAAGTTTTTCCGCTTGGATCCGAATTGCGCCATCTGAAGCATTCATGTAGATCTAATCCAATTTTCAACCAAAAAGCAGGGCACTCTCTCTATTTCAATCACAAATCGAGATGAACTGATATATTCGTCAGAGTAAGGAAAAAGTTAAGGAAGAAAATCTCTTAATACTTCAAAAGACCGACTTTATATAAACCTTGGCATAAATAGTCGAAATATGACCAAAATATTATTTGTATGACCTTATAAACTGATCTTTTTGAGGTGATGCGAGGTCGGTATGCCTGTCTCTTATTTTCAAACCTCTTATTTAAGGAAATACTAAAAATAATAATCAAATAAAAAGTCACAACATCTGAGTTGGAATTCATACTGTGACAGTTCTTCGCCAATACAACTACTCCGAAGATATCAACCTTAACTGAACGATTCCGTAACACTGCGCACAGTGGTCTGAGGCGCTATGCGACACACACGTGGAATCGATTTTCGCGCCCATGGTCCACCAAGCCTTTCATCCCTCCGGGGTCGGCAAATTAGTACCAGACTTCTCTAGGAGGATAGCAGCACTGGCTCGATACATCGGTAGGGCACTGCGAGTCACCGTAAAGGCCAAATATCCATTCAATCACCTCCAAACGATGCTTAATGAAGTCAAATGCGTGGCGCAGGGATTGATCAACGCCGAAAGCTTTACCATTTATCCTTTATGGCTCCATTAGTATTTGATCTCTTTCGGTTTTTCTAGACGGAGATTGTAGAAATATCTGCAGTGCTTATATTTCTTTCCTACATACAAAGTGAAATAAATACGGGAGAAATGGATTACAAACACAACGAACGAGATTTTAAGAATAGCAAAAGGTTCGCTTTTTGGCAAAATTCATTCTCTGGAAAGTTTCTCCCAGCCAGTCCTTTCTTTTTTCGGAAGACGCAGGTACCTTCTTTAAGTGTCCTTAACATCTGCACACTTTTTCGATTCGCCACTTACGAGTTCCTTTGTTTTAACAATTCTAAGTCCAAAAAGGAGTTTTGGTGAAAACAATGAAAAAGTCAGAACAGAGCTAGGTCTTTGTAATAGTCCTCTGGTTTCCTCAGAAAATGAAGAATCAATTTCAGTGCTACCTCGTGATGGAAAGGAACACAATTTCCAGTGCAGCTAATTTCTATCAAAAGTGAACCCAATTGTTGTTTCCCACCCAAAACGACGAAACGTTTCACGAGTTTCTGAGAACATTTTGTCCACTTCTCCACTTCGCAAGCCTGCTTCAAGGTCTTTCGGTTACTCTTCACATTTGTTTTGAGCCTTTTACAGAATTTTCTTTTAGTTTCCTCGCTTTTATTCCTTCAACATTTTCCGGTTTCCGTTTACTTTTCTTCACCTTGTTTCCTGTTTCCAATTTCGCACCATTACTTCTTTTTCATGACTACTTGTATAGCTAGCGGTGATATACTATAGGTTACTCTTGCCAATAGACTGTCTGTTTTCACGCAACAGAAGGGTCCTGCCGTGAAAACGGTGAGCAAAACTGCAATTGTGAATAACATCTGGAAAATTTAAATTACTACACTCAATTTTTGAAATTTTACCATTAACTTTCCAGAGACGGTTTGACCTCTATAGGAATCATAGGTAGAAGCAGTGTGGATTTCGGCCATCCCAGAATTCTCGGGGGCATCGATCCGAATAGTATGCAAAGACGTTCATGGCGCAAACGGAAAACATCAAACATTAGGTGAACTCATGCAAAAGGTACGAAGACCTTCACAAACGGTAAAGCCAAGGAACAAATGGAAAGCAAGTGGTGGGATCTGCACACTAGATGTGAAGATCGGTCGTACAAAGTAGAATTTTTGAAATACAGTGAAATAAAGGTTGCATTTTTGAAAAGATTACCTTTTCCACTATTTCAAGACGCGTGGAATGAGACTTGACCACTTTATTTTATACGTGGATAAAGCATAGATTTGTTTATCTACTTGTTTATTTATTAGACATTTTACAACTACAAATGCTTTAGTAAGGTATCGGCTCTAAATTTCTTCCGAAGTAACCACCATGGTGTTCCTTGTTCAACTTAGCAAATGAAGTAACTAGTGCTTCTGCGGATTCTTCAACCTGAAAAAAGAAATAGACTCAGCACCTCGCTAAGAATACCAGATTTTTTCCTATTTTAAAAGTGGTTGCTGACATTTATGTGAGCTGCTGGGCCGCCCATATCTGTTTGCACCCATCCTGGGCAGAAACAGGAGATGAGAATGTGCTCCTTTTCCAAATCGATTGCCATTGTTTTCGTCAGCGCGTTCAGCGCAGACTAGAAGGTGCTTTCATAGAAATCTAACTTCAAAGATCCAAAACTTCTAAACAGGAGCTTCTACGACAAGAAGCAAAAATTTTCCGTCGACTTACCTTGCTCATCCTATACGCCAACAACCCAAACCTGCTCAACCCAGTTCTATGACCGCTTATTGAGCCCAATATAGAAGAAATATTGATGATGGCTGATCGGCCTATAGAGAACTCATCCGAAGCACTGTTGACGGCTGCCTTTCGCAAAAGTGGTAAAAATACCTGTAGAATGTAAAGTTTGAAATAGTTCTAAGAGTGCAATACGTTCAAATTCCTTCACCTGAGTAAGCACAACGACACTCGCCGCGTTTGTATCGAAATTCCTAATGATATCAAAACGATTTGGTTCCTGATTCGTACAGTACTTCACAAATATACCAGCGTTATTCACTAATACGGTGAGACCACGATTACCTACGAGTTTCTCAACCTAAATTCTTTATAGAGAATGGTGACACATGAGTTTTCGTAGAAAACAACGACAGCCTTTCAAGCCTTCAAAGGCAAGGAAGTACAGTGCAAACAGCAGAAAGCTTAGGGTGACTGTCCACGTTCAAGGGTGACTTTACCGCAATGTAAGCGTCTGTGATAGAATCGTCACTTGTCACATCAAGCTTGATAACGCTCAGCCGTTTGTCACTAATTTCGTTCAATACCTGCAAAGGTTGACCAATTTCTTCTATGAATTCAAAACATGATGAAAAAACCATTTTATACCATATTTGCAAGATCTCGTATGTTTAGAACAGAGGTCTTCAATTCAATAACCATGATCGTCCACATACAGATCGATGTTAAGGAAAAGTTCTCAGTTGACGTGCACAGTCACTTTCCCTTTCAAAATAGCGTCATCAAATTAACTTTGTTCTTAACTTTCTACTGGCTGTATCCTTTCAGAACCACTATACAACTCCATCTTGAGGTTAATCAGGTTCAACGACTCTGCTAATAGATAAGAGCTGTTGTTATTCAGGAAAATTTTACCAGCCTTGAGGAGGAAACTAGTAGTTGATCACCACTAGCCCTTCTGTACATTTTTCATATGTTGATTTCTGAAGTTTTTCAAGTTCCCTCCCAAAATTTTCGTTTATAACATGAGGGAATATGTTCTCAGTGATTATTTCTTGGCAAAAAAAATCTAGATGGACATTTAAAAATGAAAATTAAATTAGGAGGACACCAATAAATCAACTAGTTCACCATCATTAAAGAAGGGGATACTCGGCCCACGCAGGGTCCGTCTTGATGAGAGAGCTCGTGTGAGCAGGCACTCATATTACCTTGCTCTACTACTAAATTTTTCTGGTCCAGAACTTGAAATTTCTTTTAAACATTTTTAAGCTGAGTCTCACTTAAATCTGCCGCAATAATATAAGGTGGAGTAAAAGCACATATTTTCATCAAAGCTAACTGAGTTCAGTTCTGTGTAACAACTTGTGAATAATGAAGTAAATATCTAACTATTTATGTAGATAAATTACCTTTGCTTTGTCAGGTTCTCGTGCCGTAGCGATAACATGTTGAATTTCCTTGTTCCTGAGGAATTCTTTCACAAGTCCAAGACCAATACCACGATTTGCTCCGGTCACCATCACCGAATACGGGGCCATCGAAAATCGATATCTATCAGTGGAAGGATCAAAAAAACCTTTAGAGTGACCGAAGTTATCTCAAGCAAGCAACCAGTTATTCAAGTTAACATGCACAAAAAGCCTGTATGGCGCAGTGGTCAGAGGCGCCCTGCAACACACATGTGGAATCGATCCCCACGCCCATGGCCCACCAACCGTTCCATCCCTCCAGGGTCGGCAAATTGGTACCAGAGTTGTTTGGAATGATAGCAGCACTGGCTCGATACAACAGGTAGGCCACCGCGAGTCATTGCAAAGGTCAGATATGCATTCAATTAGCTCCAAACGATGCTCAATAAAGTTGAATGCATGACGCATCTCTCACTGATTTGTCGACGTCGAGAGTTCCATCCTTTTTATTTAACACGTGGAATAGAATTTAATATTATCTTAGTAGGCACAAAAACCCACCAAAAGCGACCGAAGATGACAAAAATAGCGAACGAAAAGTGTTTAAAAAAAGAAGTGCTAAGCAGCGCAAAAGACAGTGAATGTGATAGTTCAAGTTGGGCACACCTTCGCCATTTTTAATCTTTTGTTTGCTTCACGCGACGCGAAACCATATCTTGTTCAAACTACAACGTTCGTTCCATACGATACCCTTACGAGCGTTGATTCTATGAAGGTCTTCAAATTTGCGCATGGATTTGTCCTCTGCTTCCCCGAGTTGCAGATAGATCCAAGAAATCCGTTTTTCTGCTGCGCCGATTTGACACATGCCGCCTGCGTTTACTACGACATATTCATGCATACGGCGTGGGCGTGGTTTCGTTCATGCGGATTCTATTCTAGTGGTCAACTCGGCCAAAATTCTGCAACCAAGTGACAAAAAGTACATGAAAGGTGACTAAAAGTGCGTATCAAAAGCTAACAACAGTAAAATAAACGGTCCTCATTTCCCTGACACAGAAGGAGCTTCTAATACGGCAACATTGCATATGATGAGTACGGAGGCGCTGCTAAAACGTCAGATCTCTTTTAGGCCGCCTAAACCATGAAGGACTAAGGTGACCATCCGCACCTACAATGAACGCATACTTGCATCTGAGTCCTCTACAGGGGATTTGATCATGCAATCAAGAAGGATAAGGTACCACACACTGAATAAGCCTAGAAGACGAGAACAATTCAACACCGTCTATGGCATCGGAGAAGAAGTGTTCCTCAGAACATGCGGCAGTAGAGGCGTCGGCAGCGTTGCCGTTTTAATCAACACGACTTTGGCCACGAATATTGATTTTTGAATAATTATCAGCACGAGTCTATCGTTTACGATTGAGAAGATGTGAATCAGTACCGCCTTTAAGAATCTTCTTCTCCTACGCACCGACATCAAGCTACGACAAAGACAAAGTCGAAGCGTTTTGAAGAGACTTGGAAAAGTTCTACAGAGAAGGCCATGTATTCCTCACACTCATCATTGGAGATTTCGACGCTAAGAATGGACCCAGAAAAATCTTAAGAAAGACACATTGGAACCTACGCATTAAAATGAAACGAGCAGTGGCTCTCTGAGTTTATCAGGAAGACCAAAACCATTCATGATTAGCCACACTTTCAAAAGCGCCACCCTGAATTCTGGACGTGGGAGCTCCCCAACGGCAAGGGCCGTAACGAAATACACCATATCCTAGTGAATCGAACGTATTGCCTAACCGATGTCGCTGTTCTTTCAAAAATTTGACACTGGATCAGACCATATTATCTTTTGCACCATCCATTTCTCTTGGAAAGGAGAGCAAACGCGATGTTTGAAAAAAGAGCCTGCAAAACAAACATAGACTAGGGTTTATTCAGATCGTTAGTCGTTCTCTGGGTACATGGCGCTCTTGATAATATCGACGAGAAATACCATTGGCTTATTCAAAAATTCATCTTAACCCTATGAAACTTGAGTTTCTAAAACCACCAAGAGCTGATGTTGCCAGAACATTCGAGCTGGCACGCCAACGTGGAATCGCACGAACTACAGGCCACCGCAAACTCAAGTTGGAACTGGCGTAACATAAATGAAGATCTTAAGGAGAGAACGACAGCAGTTGTGGTCGAAGCTGCATAAGTTGGGAAAAGCATTCGTAAAACCCACTGAAACTCCGTCAGTTACAAAAGCAAGACGATTGCAGTCCGACGTCCAGAGGGAGCGGTTACAGTTTCCAGAACAGCTATAGAGAAAATCATTTCTGATTACTACTCGGATCTCTCTGGTATCTAGGCACCGCATGATAACAAGTCGTATTTAGGTGTCGTTAGAGTACAAGAGACCGCTCTGCTTATTTTCATCACACAAGAATCGGAAGGTTCAGCGTACAAAACTCTCCAAGCATTCTGGATAAATTAAAGAAATCCGAAAACAAACTGCAAGGAGGAATGCCTCGCTATCACATGAGGTCTCACGCAGTATTTAAGACTGGTATTCTAATGTAAGAGAGGCATACTACGCTTCCATGTGAACTCTGTCCGGTTGATCGCCACGTAAAATAGTGGATTATGATATGAAATTAGAAAATGTGGAAACTGGTGAGTGTACCAAGAAGTTGCTTTGTTTTAAATGCGATTGAAATCTAGACTTCGTGATTTTTCTGTTTTGGTTGTAGAGGCGTTTAGCTAGGCAGATTGCAGTCAATTTGATCGTTTGAGGCTCTGAACAAGGCTAAACCAGCCAAAACGTCAGCTCTTTCGTAAGCGAGAGCAAAGTAACAACTGCTTCTTTGCTCATCAAGAGTACAATGACCTACATGATCAATGTCGAGATTAATAGAGATTCGTTATCGGAGACCAGTTTTGCTGTTTTCAAGAAAGTTTTGGATCCAGTTGAGATAGAAGATGGAAGAAGTCATGGAAGCGCTGGACAACCAAGTCGTCCCCGCTCAGTATATAAGGATTCACCGTGAGCTATATGAAAATTCCAACATGAAAAATATCACTATTCCATAATGATATCAACATCGACACAAAGAGAGGTGTTCGGCAAGGCAATACCATTCAGTTAAAATTAATTGCTGCCACCTTCGAGAACGTTATGGAATGCTACAACTTAGGAGTGAAAATCATTGATCAACAATAACGCTATCATCGCCTTCCTGATAACACTACTCTTATGACGTGGAGCACTAATCAGGCGGAACGAATACTACCCAACTTTGATAGCGATTGCGAAATGAGTGTGCTTCGACTAAGCCTCACTTTGATAATGTTCACAAAGAACGAATTGGTTTTGGAGGCCATATCCACGCTCAAGGGAACGAATATCTCCGTGTGTCCCAGCAATGCCAATTTGGGTTGGGAAGCTAACATGATGGACACTTAGTTTCACAGTTGAGCAGGAGAACACGAGCGGCTTGGGAGCTTGGAGCTTTTAGGAGCATCGAGGGTGTAGTGCGGAGAGCAAGGAGTACCCGATTAATTACCCACTTTTTCGACTTTACGATTCTCTCTGTCTCGACATATGTGTCAGAAACCTGGTCGCTCTGTATGCAGGAAAGAAGATCAGTCACCGTTATGAAATGCGCAGAAGAAAAGAATCGCTAGGAGCAAAGACAGAATTTGAAGTTCCGACTTACGTCAGCGATCAAAAATCAAAGACATCGTTATACTTGTCAGACTACTGAAAATAAGATGAGCGTTGAACGTAATGTATAAGAACGACAACCAATGATCAAGAGCGGTTAGTGATTGACTTCCTTTAAATATCAAACACATTACCCGAAGACCATAGATACCATGGTCAGAATTTTCCACGACAAATCTATTGTAAAGATATGGCCCTCCACGAGTCCTTAGGGCGAGCGGAACCCACCGGGCTTCTCTTGCATGCGACAACCACTAAAGAAAAGTTAATTGGCGCCCGCTCGAATCGTTCGAGATCGTTGGCACTGCAGCTGATAGAAGTGACCTGCTTTTAAATTAATAATGCTAGCTCGAGAACCACCTGACCACAGGTGAGAGGTGGCTGACAAAGTAGATTCCCTGTAAAATCCTGCGACAGGAGTGCTAAGGCGCTCCCAAATCTTCATCAATCACAAGCGACACCTTCTACGCATTGGAAGGAGCAAGCGGATACCAGACAATTTTTCCACCGCCTTGAGGTGAGAGATTGCCGCATTTCGCGAAGTCGAACCAGCGCCTTGCGGCATCGTTGTTGGAAATCACAGTTATAAGCATTATCTAGAGTGATTGACTGTAATTTCTGAGTGACTTGATGGGTGATTGCTGATGGCCGTGATCGATAGAACTAGCTGAGAGACAGGCGAAACAAAGGACCCGCATGGTATGGTGGTGAACGCGTTACTCACCGGAAAGGATAATAGCGCTTTCGTTCCCACCGCAGACACCGGCAGTCCGGAGTTTTGCAAAGATCTCAGCATTATGAAAACCTTCTAGAGTATTTTGAGCAAGAAAGCACTTTTCCTAGAAATAGCTTCTTAAAGCAATAGTTTAGAAAAAATTGCAAAATGGACGGGTCTCGTTAAGCTGCAAAGCATTCGCATTTAATGTCTTATATAGGAAGAAGAAAGATGACTGGAAATTGGCAATATAGCAACTATTCCCAGAATAGTTTCTATTTCTTTCTATATATATTTGTATCTTTCTACTACTGTATGTTTCAGTATTAAGGATCAATTATGTTCAATGTTTCAGGCACAATAGCGATTCAGGTTTGACTTCAGTAGCATACTAACGATGGCTTATCCGAAGGAGGCGTAACAGTGGAACAGTTTACTACTTCCTTGCGAAACAACGAAGTTAATGATATTTGATGTTTCAGGCAATTAGGTACAGTCTTGTGCAGTATTACAAAACGTAGGCATTACCGAACATTCCTCGGTTATTATTCAATTTCTTGCTTGGCAGAGAAGAGACTAAGTAGTGCATGTCAATTTTTGTTAAGGCGGTCAAGTGGAACGAACTCTCTGTGTGTTCACCATAAATCGGTTCAAAAATCACAGTTATTCGCATAATGTGACGATGAAAGACTTTAAGAGCACGTTGTATATTCTATCTCTAGGAAATTTCAGCATAATAAGAATAAAAATATTACCATTATGATAGATGAACTGCGTAATGATAAAATCTCAACACTACGGTGGCGATTTACCACTTAGATTTGACTACACAACGATGAATGTTGCTGGATTGAGCGGATTCTTTGTGCCTATTAGTAACTCGTTACCCGCACTGACCCATTTGTACGGTCTGAAGGCGCACAAAAGCACTCTGGCTACCTATAAATCAACAGGTAAAACTAACGCCGTTCCCAGGTACTGAATCTTTCAACTGCAGTTCAAATCCTCGCAGGTTGTGTCTATCTGCTGATAATGTAGGTTTAGGCCGAACTAGTAAGACAAAACTATTCCAAAATCATGGCAAACCGTCGCTTTGAGAAGTAAACATAATTGATAACGTAGGAATTCAAGGAACTGGAGGGTTAAACATTCGCAGACATAATTGTAAATTCGAAAACCACACAAGCTACTAAGAAGTTTGCAGTATAGTGGTTAAAAACTGCCATTTTGCACTTCTTGAAGCTACCAAAATGGTTTCTAACTATTCCAACCTAGCTCTCGTTTTTTCAAACAACATGCCATAACAACAGTTGATGAAACAACATTACAGAAATGAGTAATCCCAGATGTAACAAGCAATTTCAGTGTTCTTCACATAAGGTCGTACTAGTAAACTTCCCTTAAGCGTAAAAAGTAAAAAAAAATATTTACTAGGCAGTTCGCATCCACAAATTTTCTAATAAGGTATCGGTTCCAGAGTTCTTCTGAAATAACCGCCATGATGATCCTTGTTCAACTTAGCAAATGAAGTCACTAATGCTTCTGCGGATTGTTCAACCTGAAAGAAAATTGAGAGTTCAAAAACTTCATGGAAATACTAGTTTCGTCAATATTAAAAACGTCTACTGACAGTTATTTGAGCGTTCCGGCCACCCAATTCCGTTTGCACCCAACCTGGGCATAAAGAAGTAATTAGGATGTGCTCCGGCTCCAAATCAATTGCCATTGTTTTCATCAACGCGTTCAGTGCAGACTAGAAGACACGTTAGTAGAAATCAGCATTGAAAACTTCTAAGGCAATTAATCCAAGCGTTTTGATGAGCGACTGGTTCACCTTGCTCATTCTGTAGGCCAACATTCCAGTTGTGCTCGATCCAGTAGTATTGGTACTGATTGAGGCTACTCCAGAAGAGATGTTAATTATGGCCGCTCGATCCGTAGTAAACTCGTCAGAAGCAGCATGGGCCGCTGCTTTTCGCAAAAGCGGTAGAAACACCTACACTACGTAAATGTTGAAATAGTTCTGAGAATACAATACGTTCAAATTCCGTTACCTGAGTGAGTACGGCAACTCCTGCAGCGTTCGTATCAAAATTCTTAATGATATCAGCACGATTTGGTTCCTGGTTCGTGAAATACTTCACAAATATACCAGCATTATTCAATAAGACTGTGAGGCCCCGATCACCAAGCAGTTTTTCGACCTAAATTTCTAGTAGGGAATGATAATACACGAATTTTCACACAAAAAGGCCTTCAAAGGCAAGTAGGTCGCGTAGAAACAACGGAAGGCTTAAATTTACTGCCCAATTCTAGGATGAATATGAACTACTTTACCGCATTATAAGCGCTTCTGATGGATTCGTCGCTAGTAACATCGAGTTTTACGACGCTCAACCGCTTGTCGCTGATTCCGTTCAGTTCCTTTAAGGATGAAAAGTTGTTCCAACAATTCAAGACGTTATAAAAGACACCCTAACAAACGAAATACCATCTCTCGAGGACGAGCTATCCCATGTCCTTAAAATATAGGTGTCACACTAATGTGTGTAATCTTCCGCATTTAAATTGACGTTCTGGAAAAGTTTCCGGTTAATGCTCATAGTCAGCTAGTACGCTCGTCATAGGACAAATTCGCTTCATTATTAACACTTTATTGGAACAATCCTAGTTAGAACCCAGTACATATTTAACGCATGAATCATCGTAAACAACTGTTCTGCTAGGAGGTTTGAGTTCAAGCTCATTGGAAAAGTCGCCTACACATCTTTTTGCACTTAATTTTTTTTAATGCTTTACAGCGAGGCGAGCGAGAAGTGCGGTGGTCAGTGGAGATGCAGCACAATAACACGCGTATAGTCTACAATTCTGTCCGTGGCCACAAAACCTCTCATTCCTCCGGGGTTCGCAAATCGATACGAAGCTTGCCTATGAAAAGCTCACTTCTATGCATAAATGCCGACGACTGGCTATCGTGAAAACCTGGAAACACTAACAGAACTATCCCATGATTCCAAACAGAATTTGGTTCATTAGTGTTCAACAAAACTCATGAGTAAGACCAAATCCTCTCGTGGCAGTCAGAAATACGGGCCAATTCGAAGACTTTCGTGCGCGATGGGTGCAAGGGTAGGAATGAAATGAAAAAATTTCTGCAGTTCGCACAATATAAGGTGATGGGTTATAAAGGATAAAGAAGGATAAAGCTCTAGGCGTTGATCAACCCCTGAGGAATGCTCCATGCATTCGACTTAAGTGAAGACTGTTGGAGGTTACTGAACGCATATCCGGCCTTTAAAATGACTGCCGGTGGCCTACCGATGTATTGCGCCAGTGCTGGTATCCTCCCAGACGACTACTATATCAATTTGCTGACCCCAAAGGGATAGAGGGTTTGGTGAGCCTGGGGTGCGGGAATGGATCCCGTGTGTATTGCAGGGTCCCTACTATAAGGGGGGGGGGGGGGGGGGGGGGTGAGGGTGGTATAAAACATGGAGAGATAACCAATAACCACATAACCACAATGACACTGATATATTTGCAAAACTGCAGACCGTAGGTGTCTACGGTGGGGAACGAACGCCCTATTGTCCTTTCTGGGGAGTAACGCGCTCACCACCACACCATGTGGGTACTTCGTTTCGCCTGTCTCTCAGCTAGTTCTACTGATCACTGCCATCAGCAATCACCCGTCAACGGGATTGATCTGGGGAGCACAAATCGGCATTGAACCCAGTTAAACTGAGGCTACAGTTGAAATTCACAATGTTGACTTTTTATTTACTGCCTTGGACTAGCTTTCAAGGCAGGTTATTATTGGTGAAACAACCACAACGGAAAGGGCAATAGCGCGTTCGTACCCCACCGTAGACACCTGCAGTCCGGAGTTTTGCAAATATCTCAGCATCATTGTGGTTGTTTCACAAACAATGCCCTACCGTGAAAGCTAGGCCATGGCAGTGAATAAAATTCAACACGGAGAGATAGTTTACACTTTTCTTCTAAAAATGTACCATTAAACCATTGGAACATTGTACGAATGCCTGTCTCACCAAACAGTGGTTGACCTTGCAACTACAGAATAGAAAAAATTGAGCTGACGACCTCTGGAGAAGGATTGGCAGGACTGGACAGTTTTCAACTTCGCTACGAAGCCCCGGACATAAGAGAGGAGGATTTGCATGCATATGCTCGGCCTTGTACCGAAAAGCTCATATGAGTGCTCCTCCTACATTCTCGTAGTACTTGGCATTTCCCATCAAACATTTAAATGTTTGTCAATACTCGTCACTTTTTATTCACTGCTTTTTCTTTCAATTGCAGAGTATTGCGTGAAATACACCCATGGTGATGTTGAGATATTTGTTGCAAAACTCCGGACCGCAGGTTTTTACGATGGTGAACGAATGCGCTATTACCCTTCCCGTGGGTTACGCGTCCACCACCACACCATGCGAGTCCTTTCTTTCGCCTTTATGTCGGCCGTGTTATTGCAATTTTTCTGAATACTTCTAAATGTTTTCCATAAACTCTGCAGCGGTTAGACAGCGACGCAGTATAAAGAATCGATTAGTGGAACAAACACTTTCCCTCAAGGTGGCTGAGTATACTTTTTGCATGACAAATCATGAACAACTGTTGAATACTTAAATAAACAAGTAAACAAAGAAATAATTGTATAGATGGACCACCTTTGCATTGTCAGGTTCTCGTGCCGTAGCGACAACATGTTGAATTTCCTTGTTCTTGAGGAATTCCTTCACAAGTCCCAGACCAATGCCACGATTTGCTCCGGTCACCAACACGGAATACGGGGCCATCGAAAATAAATATCTACCTATAAAACACGTCCGGAGTGATCGACGTTAATTCAGGCAGGTAATCGATTACTCGGATAAACACTAGGCACGAAAGCTGACGGCATGTGAGAATCACGACTGAGTTGAACAGCACCGGGAACATCGGGTAGAGACGGGCGATACACGATGAACATGGGAAACCTACAATGTTATTAGATGGCATGGAATATTCTCTAAGAGGTAAGGAAGAGTCCCTACAGCAATTGTCATCTATCGCGCATGGGGATGGGCTCAGTGGATGAATGAATGAATGAATGAATGAATGGCAGGAGTTCAAAACTTTTCAGCAGTCTAATGGTCCGTCTAGTTAACACTTAAATTACCAACTGTGTTGAGCACAATGCATGCCCAAGACGTGTATTTCCATCAATTTTTCTGTCACGTCAGGGCTCGAAATTCGAAAGGCAAAGAAGTTCAAAAAGCTGGATATCGATCGACAGTACACCATGGCTCCCCAAGGTATCATCCCATTTCCCGCACCTTGTCGGTGGAAAATTTCAAAAGCTTTGATCTACTTTTCAATTTTGCGGGAATTTTAACTTTAAACGTATCTAAATTTGAAAGGATAGCTTATGCAAATTACACTTACTCTTAGAGCAACGAAGTAAGGACTCAATGTTTTTCATCAATAAGCAGACACGAGGTTGTTAATATAGAATTTATTAGAACACAATTGCTGACGTTTCGGC